TGAGTGGTATTTGACATATTTCCCTGAAAATCGTTGTTACGGAGTGCATATTACGCATATTAAATATAACAAATCGGATGAACATTATATATAGGAGCTATAGCTATATCTGAACCGATCTTCACCGAATTTGACATACTAGCTTCCAGACTAAATTCGGTCATAAGTACCAAATTCCATCCCATTTGGACAAATATTAGACGTTTGGTGCACAAAAAAGGGTAAATCGGACGAAGTTATATATGGGAGCTATATCCAAATCTGAACCGATCTCGATAAAATTTAACAAAGGTATTTCTGATCTGCATTTGATATATTTCCCCAAATATTGTTGTTACAGAATGCATATTACGGCTGCGGAGGACAAAAATAACAAATCGGATGAACAATATATATGGGAGCTATAGCTATATCTGAACCGATTTCGATCAAATTTGGCATACCTATTTTCAGTCCTAATTTGGTTATATGGGCAAAATTTAATACTATTTGGACAAATATTAGACGTTTGGTGCACAAAAAGGGCAAATCGGACGAAGATATATATGGGAGCTATATCTAAATTTTGACCGATTATCTCCAATTTCAATAGGGTTCGTCCTTGGGCCAAACAAATGATATGTGCAAAATTTCATGTGGATAGGGCAATAAATGCGAACTGTACTTTGTTTACAAAAATACATGGACAGACGGACGGACGGACATGCATAAATCGACTCAGAATGTGATTCCATGCAGATCATCAAAAGGAACTAAGGGTCTATCTCGTTTCCTTTTGCCTGTTACAAACAAATGCACAAAGACATAATACCCTGACCATTTTGTGGTGTAGGGTATAAAAAACTATTATGATATGTATTGCCATATTTTTATATGCTGGTCTGTGATCACCGATTTCTAGGCTAAAATTATAGAACGTTTGTCTCGAATGGAATTTAATCTTTCGTTTCGTTTGTTAAATCAAATATTCGTCGGATACCCATAAAGTGTATATATATTGGTAATCTACAGAAAATTCTAAATCGATTTAATGATGTCCATCGAGTTGTTTGTCCGTTGATATTGAGATACAACGCATTTTATTTGACGTAGAGCATTCTTGATGAGCATAAAATTCTTTGTCGATCTAGCCATGTCCATTCGTCTGTGAAAATCACTTTAGTTTCCAAACGAAATGACATAGGTTAATAAATTGTACTCAAATGTGTGTTAGGTCTGCAGGAAATGTGGTATTGAAAATGGGCTATGGGCACGTTTTTGTATAGTCCCCATATATTCCGTATTTTGATGATTTTAGCGATATTATTCAACGGAATTAATTTTAACATAAAGTACATATCGTATTTGAAGTTCTTAATGGATACTGTCGTCTCTGATAGAAAATTGCATATGTAGGTCCAGCTTTTCGTATATATCCATATAACGGTACCTCCCTATATCCGATATTTTGATGATTTTAGCGAAATTATTCACCGGATTTGTTTCAAATTTCGTATTTAAATACCGTAATATCCCATGACAGAAAATTGCATATGCAGGTCCAGACCATCGTATATCCCCCAAATATTCGCAATTTTGATTTTATTGAGATATAGTTCAGCTAGTGGTACCAAATTTCGTATTTTGAAGTTCCTAAGGGGTACTACATCCTATTACAGAAAATATCTCATACCGGTCCATGTCTTTGCATAGCACCCATATAATGGTACCTCCCAATATTCAGAATTTTGTTTTTTTTTTTCAGGCATTATTCGTCGGAATTGTCTCAAGTTTCAGGTTTGAATATTGTATTGGTCTTTGTCCTGACCAAGATTAGGTTATGGAAGTTTCGTTTTCTTTAACGGTAACACCGTATATTCGCTATTTTTATGATTTTATCAGTGTTTTCCAATGGTTTTTTCTTTAGAAATTTGCAAATTCCTTCCTTTATCATTCCGTTTTGTAACATCCCTAAATATTCATCGTAGTTCCCATAAAGTATATATATTCATAATCAGCATAAAATTCTAAGTCGATGTAACTTTCGGCCGGCCGAACTTTATTTGTGTTTACTTGTTAGTCTTCGTCTGGAATATTATTTCTATTAGAAAAATTCGATTTACAAATGGAATAATTCAAATTCCAATTGGAGTAATTCGAATTACAACTGAAATTATTCGAATTAAAATTGAAATTTTCGAACTACAATTCGAATGATCCGAATTACATCTGAAAAAGATGTAGCCTCTTAAAAATATTCTTTATTGGCATCCATTTAACGGAAAATTCACATTTTAGTGAGTTTGGGGATAATCGAACTTTGAAGTGCTTGAGGCTATAAAAAGCTAGGTCTGGGCTACTTCCATATTTTGCTCCAGATTTGAGTTTCCACACTTTTTTATAATTATAAGGACTTGTAATAATTCCATTCATCGAGCCTATGGTCAGATATTTTATAAAGTGTGTTATTTTAAACCAGCATAAAACTTTAAGTCCATATAACTTTGTCGGTCGGTCGGTTAAAATTTAGATAAAGTCCCCATTATTTTTTGTGGAATTGTGAAATTTGGAACAGGAAGATTAATTATGTCTTGATTGATTTGTAAGAGATGCGATTTGAAACATTTCAGTCAGGTGTTCCGGCATATTATCATTTATCTATTTATAAACTTTTTGGGGTAAATATTGGACCTAAATATCCTATTTTTGCACTATTAGAAGTATGCTAATGTATTAAGAAAAAAACTGAATTTCATGAGTGTATTGATTACTCAACATTTTGAGCCATTGTGGCGAGATAGAAAAGCAGCAGGCTAATTTTGTCAATTTTTTACTCCTGGCCTTCGGCTAGTATATGTGTAGTATGATTTTTAAAGTTGGAATGAAGTTGAATGTTTCTCGAATAAATACGTTATTAAAAATCTTCACACTTTTCGGGGCAGGTACAAAAGGGAGGGGGGAGATATATTCCACTTTTATATAAGATCTATGGCTCGTATGCCTTCCAAACCTTGATTGAATTAAATTCCAATTCAACTTTCAAAAATATCGAAACTTTGTAGGAAGATACCAAAAGGCGTGGAGTGATAGATCCCATAGAAGATATATTTGGGAAAGTATTGGATTGTGCTAAATTAAAAGAAACATTGGCTCAATGCTTTAAATTTTATGTGACTTAAAATTGTTCAGAATTTGGACCCATTGGTGGAGAGGTATCAGTAATAGTAAATCGATTTCGTAAATTTTCTCATCTGACGTAAGATTGATTCAAATATTAAAAATCTTGAGTTTAAACAAAATCGGAAACATTATGTGCTTCCTGTAACAAAAGTTAGTTTCTTCGAAAAGTTTGACCTTTGTGCAAGAGGTTACAGAACAAGTGTCCATCTCCGAACCTGATTTTAGTTTTATATAAAGTTTATAACACAGGGTGAAATAAAAAAAGTGCAACAAAGTCAAACGCCATAATTTTAACAATTTTTTTTTAATGTATTGAATGAAACCCAAAAATGTCGGAAATAGCATTAAATTTTAGAATAAGTTTAGATTTGTTCGAATTGGTTATCTTTGGCACGAATTATGGCCTTTAAACGGCCAATGAAACAGTCACACGCTGCCCGAATGTTGCTCTGCGGTATTTTGGCCCATTTCCGGTGAAGCGATTGCTTGGGGTGTTCAACCACTTCGTATTTTTTTAGTGCCAACCTTGCTTTCCAAAATACTCCAGACACAATAGTCCAACGGATTGGTATCCGTAGGTTTTGGTGGCTATTGTGGGCTGGAAATGAAGCGAGGAAACTCATTTTGTAACCATACTAGGGTGGCGCGTGCTGAGTCCTGTCGGAATGTCCAAGGTCTGCGACCAAAATGTTTAAGTGCCCAAGACTTTAATACACCCTCCAGAATATTTTCGCGATAATATTCTTAATATTCTGATGTCAGGTCGATTAATACGAGCGGAGAGCGGAGAGTTCTGGTGGCCAACCGAAGGTGAACATTTTCAGCTGACCGCCTTGGCAAGTAAACACGATAATTTTGTTTGTTTGCAAACTGCTGGACAACACTTTCGGCCAAGCAAAGTAGCTCTTTAGCTCTTTTGAATCTATTTTCTTTCTGTTGCGGTGTAATGGCTTTACCCCAAGCTCATTTGATAGAGTGCTAAAATTTTGCATAAATGCATAGTTTAGCAGTTGGCAGGTTAAGTTCGTAAATGGGCCATGTCGGTCCAGGTTTTCGTATGGCCACCATAAAACGGTACCTCCCGATATTCGGTATTTTCATGATTTTAGAGACATTTTTCACCAGAATTGTTTCAAATTTGGTATTTGAAGTTCGTAACGGATACTACAGCCTAAGACAGAAAATTGTCTGTGCAGACCCAGATCTTCGTATAGCCCCCATATAACGGTACCTCCCGATATTCGGTATTTTGACGATTTCACAAACATTATTCACCGGAATCGTTTCAAATTTCGTATCTTAATTTTTTTAGTAAATAAAATCAACGGTATTACATATTTTTAATCCTTTTAGATATCGGAATCTGTTTCTAAAATCCATCCATCGCTAGTGGATTTAGAAATAAATATCTATTTGAAACATTCATTCACGTAAAAAAAATTCAACCAAAAAAAAGAAAAAATCCCCGGTTTCGTGGTTTAATTGAAAAAATAATAATTTTAGAAACAAAATCATATATGTATTAGCTGATGCAAAATATTAACTTTTTAGAGAGATGCTTTAAAAATACCCTCAATTGTACTTTTCATGCAAAACAGTCATTTTAAAAATTTCGTAAAGACATGAAAAATGTAAATTGTATTTTAGTCTAATGTGGGAGTATAAGACGTGATGTTTGGCTAAAAAATATTACTTATTTACGCACCAAAGAGCAGAACTTAAGAAAATTACAAGTGACATAATAAAGATGTATATTTATTTATAAAACGCTATGAATAATAATTTAACTCAAATGGAAACTAATTTTTGTGATTTTGTGTATTTTTTGTGCAATTTTTTAGGTTTTGTTTGAAAACAAATTAAGAAAAAAAATCAAAGAAAATCAAATTTATTTTGTTTAATTAAAAAAAATGCCAACACTACAACAACAATAGTAATTACAACAAGAACAACAATAACACAAATACACAATAAAATAGAAGTACAGTAGAGAAAGGAAACAAAAACAAAAAAGAAAATTATCTGTTAAAAAGTGTGATTTTTTTTTTAAAATATTAAAAAGAAATAAATTGAGAAAAAAACGAATAACAACAACCTACAAAAGTGCAATCATTATTATACTTAACAATTTTCCAAGTTGTTTAAATTTTACTTAAAACAAAAAAAAACCAAGAAAACTCATTTAATGAAACCAAACCAAGTAAATCTACCAACAACAACAGTTACAACAACAATTGCCACATATCATCTGTGAAAATTCGATAAATGCAAAAACGAAAAACTTTGAACAATTTAATTTTATTTCAATAAAAATCACTTCAATTGTGAAATAACGGCAATTTTCCATACAACAAGACAAATTATTTAAAAAAAAAGAAGAGAAAAGAAAAACAACAACAGGAGAGGTGGTTAAAAAAGCGTCATTAAAAAACAAAAGCCCTCGAGTATATAAGGCCTGCTGTTGTTTATATACATACCTCTATATATATATATATATATATGCTGCTAGTATATAAACAATACATAGGTACGTGAAATATTTGGAGAGGGGGTCGCCGGAATATTATCCATTGCTCCAGCAACGTCCCCAAATACCCCCCACACACACACAAACATACAAAGACAAGAACAATCATCAGCATCATCACCAAGGGATTGGTGGGTTGGTTCGTTGGTCTGTGTGATAATCACACTCACACATTTCTCAATAATAACTACAACATCAAAAGCATTAATCAACCCAACCATCACAGCATCATCACCGCCGATGAGGGGTAGGTAGGAGGACGCATTAAAATCTCCTCTTTACAAAAAAGTAAAACGGTGCTGCAATTTTTTAATGCTATTTCGCCGGAAGTGCGTAAACAAACTGCAAGGCAAACATTCCAATATCTATCCAGCCTTCCTGTTATTTCCACTGGAGCTTTTGGCCTTTGGACACCCAAAAAAAAAAACAACAATAACACTGCTGCAATCATCAAGGCAACGCAACGCAACGCAATTTTTTTGTGCATTCATACGCACTGCACATCAAAACAAGCTTTGGGGCCCGGCGACAGGACAGGAGTGTTGGGGAGGAATAAAATAAAAATCATCAACACAGCGTCCCCAAAAACAGTGTTTATCCAACAGCGCCAATTCCCAACCTTCAAAAACCTTCAGTCGACAACAAACAAGAGACAGTACAGTTCAATCCAATAACCCCTCACAGTTTTAACTGTTCTACGCCGAAATATATAAAAAAATCTTTGGCATTTACGCACATTTTTATACTGCTGCTGTTGTTGTTGCTGCTGCTGCTGCTGTTATTCGAGAGATTTTCGTTGTTTTCCTGTCAATTTTTCTCCCCGAGAGTTGATGCTGCTGCCGCTGTCGTTGTTATACCAACAACACAACAATCATCATTAACATCACCAAACAGGACAAACCGTCCAACACACACACATACACAATCAAACGCCAAAATCCGGGGGAGAACCAACCAACAAAAAACCTCAAGCCAGACAAACGGACACTCCAGAGCTTCAGAGAATTGCATAAAAATTAAAAAAGCTGCATGAAAACGCATTGCACTGCTTGTTGTTTCATCGAATTCGTTGCGGAAATATACAAAATATGATGCTATGCACATCAGCGCCTATGAAGCATGTACGTATGTATTTCACATCAATATTTATATACACATAGTTTTTTTAAGCGTTTTTATTGTTGTTGTTTTTGTCATTTTTATATACAACCAATACATGAACTAAGGATATATGCATACAAACATACATATGTTTGTATGTGCCTATTTTTTTTTTTTTTTTTTTTTTCAATATGAGCTCCATGTACTGAAAAAAAAATTAATTAATTTTTTTTTCAATTGTTATGTGGCTTTTTAAAAGAAACATTTTTGGGACGGGGATCTCCTTCAAATGGCAAAAATCTATTAACCACCCTAGCTTATTAACGTTAATCAGGCCTCACACTGTCACATGGAGGTGGGCGCAATAAAATAATACAGAATGCTTGTCTGCATGTTGGAATTTTATTTACACAATTTGCAGATCTCGGAATAATACGGAATTTCACGAGCCAAGGAACCGAATACTTTTCGAAAACAACTTTAGCTATGTTAAAATTTGTCAGTCGGTTTATTAAATTACTTAATCCATTATTATGCCCATTGATCAGTAGTTCTAAACCTAAGGGTTAATGAAAGCACCATTCCAAAAATAATTTTTTCAAAATTTTGATTTGATTAACCAATAAGGAGAAGTCAAAAGTCGGGCTGGACCGACTATATGATACCCTACACCACTATGCGTATTTAGTAGAGCTCTCATAACAAAAAAACAAGTAAAAAAGCTAGTAAGTTCGGCCGGGCCGAATTTTTAATACCCTCCACAATTTGGAACGAATTTGGCACTTTTCAAAAAAAAAAAATCCGTTCAAAATTCTGTTAACATCTTAAGAATACCGAATGAAGCTGTTATATTAGGTTATATACGACGACATGGACCTGCATAGGAAACTTTGCCATAAACCAGTACAATATTCAAATGCGAAATTTACAAAAAAATCGGTGAATAATGTAGCTAAAATCATCAAAATACCGAATATCGGGAGGTACCGTTAAATGGCGGCTATACGAAGACGTGCACCTGCACAGATAACTTTCTGTTTTAGGCTGCAGTATCCATTACGAACTTCAAATTCCAAATTTGAAACAATTCCGATGAATAGTGTCGCTAACATCATCAAAATACGGAATATCGGGAGGTACCATAAAATGGGGGCTATATAAGACGTGGACCTGCACACACAATTTTCTTTTATAGGCTGTAGTATCCATTTCGAATTTCAAATGCCAAATTTGAAACGATTCCGATGAATAATGTTGCTAAAATCCTCAAAATGCCGAATATCGGCAGGTACCGTTATATGATGGCTATACGAAGGCGTGGACCTGCACAGACAATTTTCTGTTATAGGCTGTAGTATCTACCACGAATTTTAAATACCAAATTTGACCTTCATGGCCCATTTTCAATACCAAAAGTCCTGCAGACATACTATACATTTGAGTAAAATTTTATCAACCTACTTCATTTCGTTCGGAAGCTAGAGGGATTACAACAGACGGACAGACGGGTGGAAATAGCTAAATCGATTGAGAAGTTTATGCTGATCAAGAATAAATATACTTTGTGGGGTCTAAAATGTATATGTCGAGGTGTTACAAACGGAATGACAAACTTAATATACCCTCCGTACTATGGTGGAGGGTATAAACATATTTGGGAATTTATGTGAAGTAGATCATACCAACTATGAAACTTATTTGAATGCGTATCATCGTTTTATAGTAGTGACAATTTGGAAACTAATCCAACTCTGAATCGATTTTCAACAAATTTGACAGAGGCTTTTGTACCTTTAGTAGCAAATATCATTGCTGTATAGAGCATGATATGACTTCGATAAGAATTATATTCAAAAATATTTATTGGAGCAATAGATATACTAGACCGAGTTTTACCATATGGAAAAAATTTGAGGCACTTGCTGAATTCAGTCTGGAATTCCGTTGGATGTGACTATTAAGAAATATGAAAATAACCAGAAAAACGTCAATACCCTTATAAAAACGTCCTCGAAAATCAGACCCGCAAACTTTTTAATGAAACACGAGAAACAAAACGATGAACTTAGTGATTATAAACCTCCCCAAATATGAGATTTATTTACACATTTTTTACTGTCCAAAAAACCGACAAATGCTTATTTTAAAACATTGCGGTCGAAACTGCGGTTACATGACAACTCTGAATGTAAAGACCTTTAAAAATAGTAACTGCAATTTCAAAAGAAATCACCCAAAGTCTGCGATAAATTAGTAAAGAAAACATTTCTATACCCTACAAAGTGGTAAGGGTATTATGTTTTTATGCCTTTGTTTGTAACATGGAGGAGGAAGCGCGATAGACCCATAATTACTTTTGAGGATCTTCATAGAATCCCTTTCTGAATCGATTTATGCATGCCAGTCCGTCTGTGCTTCCGTCTGTCCATGTATTTTTGTGAACAAAATACAAGTCTCATTTATTATCCGATTGAGATTAAAATTTCCAAACAATATTTGTCTGGCCGAAGGGCGAATCCTATTGAAATTGGTGACAATCGGTCAATATTTAGATACAGCTTCCAAATATATCTTCAACCGATTTCGGGTTTATTGTACACTAAATGCCAACATCACATAAATTTCGGCATATCAGACCGAATTCAGTCAAGAAGCAGTACATAACATTTTTTGAAAATCGGTTCAGATAAAGCTAAAGCTCCAATATATACAGGGTAATGTAAAAAAAACTGCAACAAAGTCAAATGCCATAATTTGTACATTTTTTTTTTTAATTTTATTGAATGAAAGCAAAACATTTTAGAAAAAGTTTAGATTTGTACGAATTTGTCACCTTTGGCAGGAATTATGGCCTTCAAACGGCCAATGAAAGCATCACACGCTGCCCGAATGTTGCTCTGCGGTATTTTGGCCCATTCCAGGCGAAGCGTTTGCTTGAGGTGATCGACACTTTGGTATTTTTTTAGTGCCAACCTTGCTTTCCAAAATACTCTAGATAGTCCAACGGATTGGTATAAGGAGATTTTTTGGCGATAATATTCGGCATTTATTCTGATGCCACGGTCGATTAATACGAACGGAGAGCGAAATTCAATATTTAAGGAGTTATTTTAAAGTATTCAATAATTCACACCTAAAAAAGTGATCACAAATAATAGCTAAAACCGCTGAAAACTCAATATTTAAGGAGTTATGGCCATTTTAAAGTATTCAATAATTCACGTCTAAAAAAGTGATCACAAATAATAGCTAAAACCGCTGAAAACTCAATATTTAAGGAGTTATGGCCATTTTAAAGTATTCAATAATTCACGTCTAAAAAAGTGATCACAAATAATAGCTAAAAACGCTGAAAACTCAATATTTAAGGAGTTATGGCCATTTTAAAGTATTCAATAATTTACGCCTAAAAGAGTGATCACAAATAATAGCTAAAACCGATGAAAACTCAATAATTAAGGAGTTATGGCCATTTTAAAGTATTCAATAATTCACACTTGGTGGTCAACCGAAGGTGCACATTTTCAGCTGACCTCTTTTGCAAGTAAACACGACCATTTTGTTTGTTTACAAACTGCTGAACAACGAATGTTTTATCATCGGAGAAAACCAAATTCGGAAGTTCGCCACTTTCGGGCAAGCGAAGCAACTCTTTAGCTCTTTTCTTTCTGTGGTAGTGTAAGTTCTTCACTTTTTGGAATTTGGAATTACAATGGCTTTACCCCGAGCTCATTTTTCAATATTGTGATTTATTCAGGTCACGAGATATTTTTCGGCCACTGCGACGCGGATTTCGATTCGTAGCTATGTACTTTAAAACCATGATACGCATTTAAATAAGTTTCATAGTTGGTATGATCTACTTCACTTAATTCCCAATTTTTTGTTTGTTTTTTTGATACGGGAGCTCTACTTTATGCGCTTAGTGGTGTAACGTATAGTCGGCCCTCATTTTCAATACCAACCATCCAAGACAAACTACTGTTGCAAATTTCAAAGCTCTTTATCAAATAATGTGAACTGCATCGCGATTTCAACAGACAGACGGACATCGTTAATTAGACTTAGAATTTTATGCTGATCATGAATATACTTTATGGTGTCAATGATGAATATTTAGATGTGTTACGCATAGAATTATAAATTTAATATATCCTTTTCATGATGGAGGTTATAAAAACGATTGCCTACCATACTCATCAATAAGGTATAGAAGAGTTGTCAGCAGTAATATGTGGTTCTCTTCCCACCGACCATGATCAATTATATTTTGAGGCTTTGGAAAATATTGGCTTTCCAAAAAAAAAAATTACTACGAATTGTCAGGTTGGATTATCTATGGAAAATGTTCATTATTTTCTGATATTGTTTGGGAATAAGAAAACCTTTATCTTTAAAAGTCATAATCACAAAAGGAGCGTAGATTATTATTATTATTATTTTTTTTTGACATTTTTTACCATCATGTTTTCATTTTCTAAATAACTATTGATTTTTTCACATACAAACAAACGAAATACTGGAAATACTGACTTATAAAAATACATAGTAAGTCTCTGTTTGTAGATCCACTTATAGCTTTATTTACGTATTTAAGTGCTTAAGGACGCAAGTTCAAGAAACTTAAAAAACGAGCTATAGCAAAACCAACAAGAACAACAATAACAAACAAAAGGCGTGTTATCTGTCTGTCCACTGTCGCCAGAGCTATTCAAATATTCAGACGAACAAAAAAAAGAACAGGCTTCGCAAATATGCCACTATCGAAACCGCTGAAAACAGCAGCATCATTTATCCCACCGACGATGTGGTGGTCTTCGCTAAGATGATCAGTTACAACAACAACAACAACTACGTATGTATGTTGATTGAATCGCACAATGCACATATAGCCCCCGTATAACGTTTTCATATAGCCCCCGTATAACGGTACCTCCCGATATTACGTATTTTGATGATTTTAGCGGCATTATCCACCGGAATTGTTTCAACTTTGGTATTTGAGATTCGTAATGGATAC